ACTACAATGGGGTGATCCTCCAAAGGCAGCTTAGATGGCTTCTAGGCCTGCTGATGCCCTCACTGTGGTATAGAGTGGCCACAGCTGAGATTTTGGTCCATGCTGTGTGAGCTCACAGTATCTGTGGAACCAGTGTCTGAGCGCCTCACAAGCATCAATGAATTTATCTTCATAACATCCCTGTGAGGTAGAGAAGTATGAACATTCCCATTTTGCAGAGGGGGAATAGACATACACCTCTACCTTGATATAACGCGACCCGATATAACACGAATTCGGATATAACGCGGTAAAGCAGTGTTCCGGAGGGGCGGGGCTGCGCACTCCAGTGGATCAAAGCAAGTTCAATATAACGCGTTTCACCTATAACGCGGTAAGATTTTTTGGCTCCCGAGGACAGCGTTATATCGAGGTAGAGGTGTACATACAGATGTAAGTAATTTTGCCCATGATCACAAAGGGAGGGAGTCTGTGACAGAACCAGGAAGAGAACAGCGAGTCCCTGAATCTTAGTCCACTGCCTCAATCACAAGAACATTCTTCCTCTTGCTGATACAAAAACGCATAGTTAGCCACCACCCCATAACTCTTTCCTCCCACCCCCAGGAAAGGTAGACTACTAGAAATAAGCCATAGTGCAAGTTCAAGGAAACAGCTGGATACTGACCCAAACAGACTGCATCCTCCTCAGCTGCTGAATATTCACAGGGGGAAAAAATAGTACACAAATGCCCAGGTGTGATCTATAATACTAATTCAACAGCAAGAACAGGAGCCAATAGCATCCACCTCAGCTTCCTACAGCATATTCGTCCTGAAGGAAACAGGTGAAAACCAAACAAGGACAAATTATCCTGCCATTCCAAAGGGCACAGGGGTGAGCCTTAGTGCTGCTTTACCAACTACTGAAGAGTGTAGCTGGAGCAGTTAGCATTCACCTCAGGTTCACACAGCTTTAGTATAATGAATCATCATAGCCACAGAGAAGGGAACATTTTAAAAAAAGACATGAGGCAATGCATAGCAAAAGCCTAAGAATACTACTATATGAGTTGTTTGCCTCCACACAGTGCATCTACTCTGCCTTCTAATTAATAATTTTTTCCCCATTTCTATGGCACCTATCTGGAAGGATCCCAAAGAGCTTCATGGCCTAAGGGCATGCAGCACCATTGAAGTGAAGCCACCAAAGATGTGGACACAGTAGCCAACTGTGGAGAAGAGAACATTTTGGCCAAGAACACCGAGAAAATCGCCAACTTTTACATCAAGTACCATAGGAACTTGGGATATTTAATGTCCAGACAGAGCAGACAGGATGGTTTTGGTTTTCCAGGTGTCATCTAAGGAACAAACTTCTTGGCACTGGGTTATTTGTCTACTTCAGGATGAGTTAATACAACACTGCTAGGATGTGAACCTGACATATCAGGGAATGTAAGAATCCCAAACCAATGCCATACAATTGATTCATCACCTCATAAAAGCTTGTTTCCTTCCTAAAAGGATGACCCATGTACAAATACAGGTTCCTAGGAGACAGAAATCAGTGGAAGAAATAGCATCCACCTTGAATCCATATAATTTATGTCCTTCCATTTAAAGTGCACAACTCCAAGTTTGTTTACACTCCATAGCATGTTCCATGGAACTCTGTCAATAGAGTTGCATGGGAGCTAAGCGAGGGTAGAAGCTAGCCCCAAGCACCCAATGAAGCAATGGGTAACAATACATGGAAACTGACATTCTTTCCCAAGGTGCCACATGGAAGTGATTTGCCAGGTGATCCCACAAGAGAGTTAGGACAACTGCTGAGTCAGCCTGAATCCCTTCACTCCTACATTAAAAGATTAAATCCCTAAACCAGTCAAATTGCTCTGTTCTTCTGCCTTTTGATCATCTGAAATGTCGGGGGAGGCAGGTTTGCAAATGAGTTTGGTCCGATCCACTGTTATACTGAGGGGAACTGAAATGCAGTTGCAGATTGAGTCAATCATTGAGCACTTCACTGGAAATGCTCAAAACACTTGGATGCAAAAAGGCTTCAGAGGAATGTCAAGATTCTCTAGTGCAAATCCAGCCTCTTTTCCTCTGCCACCTGATAGAAGAGATACATGGGCTTTACCATTGCTAGTCATAAACTTTCATTTCTTCCCAAGGAGAAATTTCAAGCAAATCACAGACTAGTGCATTCTCTTTATGTCTCTTACTGCTTTCTGCCTCTCAGTTCTATTGAATTCAATTCTAAACTCCTCTTTTCTAACACTCCTTGTTACTGTATTACACACTGAAGAATATTGATGACATGCCTCTGTAATGCATACATATAGCTGCCTCTTGTTCACTGTGAGACAGATCTTTAGTATAAGTATCAGGGGGTTTTTACCCATGAAAGCTTATGCCCAAATAAATCTGTTAGTCTTTAAGGTGCCACCAGACTCCTTGTTATCTTTAGTTTAGTGTCCAGGCTAAGTAGCTCAGTTGGGTGCTGGGAAATGCACTGAGGGAAGGAATCCTTCCCACCCAGGTTTCAGAATAGCTGTAAAGCCCTAACGTGTTCCTTCCATTGGGGAAAGTCAGGAGGATACACATAGCAGATCTTCTCGCCCCACTATATCCCCAACTGCTCCACAAATGCGGATTCATAGGGAGCCTGTAAAGAGCTGGATGAATGCACCTGCCCCCCACACCCATCTAATCTCACCTTTCCTTGCACTTCCTTCAGGAGCTCTGTATAGATCAAAAGCTTGTCTCTCTCTCCACAGAACGTGGTCCAATAAAAGATATTACCTCACCCACCTTGTCTCTATAATTATTCTTATTTAACCAAGAGGGAAACTGAGGCGGAGAGGTTCAATGACATGCCCCAAGCCACAGAGCAAATCAGTTAGAGCCAGGACTAGAATTCAGATATTCTTGAGTCCCAGCTCTGAGCTCATTCCACTACTGGAAGGTGCCTGGAACTATGGACAAAAGCAATCAGCCTCCCGCTTCATCAGAGCTAGAAACCTGGGCTCATGCAGCAATTTAAGAATCAAAACTTCATCTAAAGGGAGGAACAACCCTGTTGCCAAGGTGAAAAGAATTGCTACCAAAATGTGATCAGAGAGAGAATTATCAACATAAGTACACTCTGGAGCTCTTGCTCTCAGACAAGAGAATTATCAACAAGAAATCTGTCCTATAAGGTAGCTGCTACTGATGGGGAAGTAAAAGGAATGCGGTTGTTCTTATCAGACAGACCTAGGTTGCTCCCAATAGCTGTCAGGTTCAAATATCTTGCTGATAATTTGTCTTAGAACTCTTTCTCATTTAATTTGATTCATCGTTGTATAGTGGAAGATCTATTCAACACAGAATCTAAAGAAAATTCTTGTTGCCCTCCTGCTGTATTGTTTGTGATCTCTCATTTTCTCGTTGGAAACAATATTAAAGGGACACCATCAACTTGATAAAAATAATAAACAAAAAAAATTGCACTGTCTGAAAATATTGTACCTACTATTGTTCCATGTAACACCTCCAATTACTAGGAGTGAAAGCAATTAAATAACATTTTCTCTCTCTGTTTTTTTTAAGTTTGTCTATCTTGTGCATTTGGCAGTACTTTGATTAAGGTCTCTTTTGCTGTATCTACACTGGGGCTCTGGGTAACAATTTCCTACCTCTGCTAATACTTGTGAAGCCCCATTGGTGAGAGCACTAGTGTAGACAAGGCTCCAGGGGGCTGCCAGTCATCTAACGTTGTGTCATCTAACCCTGCTCAGAGCAGATCTGAACAATTATATAGACCCTGCTTCCTGTTGGGTGTTTGGGTAGGAGAGTGGTGATACTAACAAGTAGGCACAGCAGAGATCGGGTGCCAGATCCTCACAGGACAGCTGGCTTTTGAAAATCCCAAAGGCCGAGCATGCAGCTGGATCCAGAGTACTCATGCAACTTCCATGTCCAGAGCAGGAAGCAGATTTTCAAATCTCAAGTTCTGTCCATCCCCAGCTTTGAACCATCCCAGAGTGCCCATAACTCAGCACTCAAGATGCCCCATTCAAGTTTCCTCTGTCCACATGTCTTCCAAGTCTCAGAACATGACAACCCTGCGTGTTTTGGGGAGTGTCCTGCATATGGATGGTTTTGGTGCAGAGATGTAAATAAAAGCCGACCTTTTTCTGGTGGCTGCCCATTGTTTTAGAAGAGGCAGAAGCAGTTTGCCAGAACAAGGCAAAGACAGGTGCACCTGATTTAAATACTACCTTGGTGCACAATCTCAATATTGGTGGTTCCATTAAGATTTCAGTTATTGATGCTGTGCAAAAATGTATTGTAATTTCCTCCTCTGAAGAATTGTGTGCCTGGGCTCCCAACCACCCTCCTTCTTCTGAGGGGTAAAACAGGGTTTCCCCTTTACACTGGGCTTGTGCCCCTCCTTCTGTGTCTTGTCAGCCGGGATGACAAATTCCTATACAGATTTTAAAGATTTATCCCATTGCATCTCTGACCTCCTCAGAACAAATGGTTAAGAAACGTTCTTGAGCAAAGAGATCGGACAATTAATCATAGTTCTCAGCCCCCTTTCCCTTTACCCATTTCCTCATTAGGTCACACATTTTATAGGCATACTCACTATGCCTTATGCCAACACTTTTCTTGAGATTTCTAAATTTCAACTGTACACTTCAGGGGTAACATGAAACCTTTGCAAGACAGCTTTTTAAAACTCAGCATATATCAAAGCTTCTTCAATCCACATTTCATTAAATACATTTAAAGATTTAGCCAAGAGTTTTTCAATCAGTGTGGGGACTTTCTTATTCTCTGGAACTTCATGTACTTCACATAGCCTTTCAAAAGTGGTGAGGTATTCTTTAATAAACTTCTTTGCAAGGTACAATTTATCCCAGCTGGGTGATCCTTGGATGGAGGGAATACCGAGGGATGGTGAAATCTGACCCTGCCTGTCTATTATGCTCTGGGCATGCAGTCTTTCCTTCTCTTTTTCTTAGGATTCCTTCTATTATGGCTCCATGGCCCACTGGTGTACTGGTTTTTCCCCCTGTGAATATTCAGCAACTGAGGAGGATGCAGTCTGTTTGGGTCAGTATCCAGCTGTTTCCTTGAACTTGCACTATGGCTTATTTCTAGTAGTCTACCTTTCTTGGGGGTGGGGGGAAAGAGTTATGGGGTGGTGGCTAACTATGCGTTTTTGAATCAGCAAGAGGAAGAATGTTCTTGTGATTGAGGCAGTGGACTAAGATTCAGGGACTCGCTGTTCTCTTCCTGGTTCTGTCACAGACTCCCTCCCTTTGTGATCATGGGCAAAATTACTTACATCTGTATGTACACCTCTACCTCGATATAACGCTGTCCTCGGGAGCCAAAAAATCTTACTGCGTTATAGGTGAAACCGCGTTATATTGAACTTGCTTTGATCCACTGGAGTGCGCAGCCCCGCCCCCCCGGAGCACTGCTTTACCGCGTTATATCCAAATTCGTGTTATATCGGGTCACGTTATATCAAGGTAGAGGTGTATGTCTATTCCCCCTCTGCAAAATGGGAATGTTCATACTTCTCTACCTCACAGGGATGTTGTGAAGATAAATTCATTGATGCTTGTGAGGCGCTCAGACACTGGTTCCACAGATACTGTGAGCTCACACAGCATGGACCAGAATCTCAGCTGTGGCCACTCTATACCACAGTGAGGGCATCAGCAGGCCTAGAAGCCATCTAAGCTGCCTTTGGAGGATCACCCCATTGTAGTGTAATCCCTCTCCTAGCAGTACACAACCAACCCAGAGATTCTTACCCTATTCACCATCCCTGCTGCTGGTATAGTAGGGAAAAGGGAACTTGGGCAGAAAAGGGACGGGGTGGCAAGGATCCCTCTATGTGATGCAACTCCTTGGCTGAATTTATTGTCCCACTGCAGCTGTTGCAGCCCAGGGTACTAGAGAAACCCTGAGGATGCTCTTGCCATTAACTGATCTCTATCCCACCTCTTCCCCCACTGCTACAACTCAGCAACTGCCCAGCCCCACTCTCCATGTTACCCGCTACGGTCCTCTCCCTCTCTTTCCTCCTATCTCTCCTGTCTACCTCCTTCCATCTAATTCCTTCTTCCTTTTCCCATCCCCCTCTTTCAACCCAACCTTTCCTCTCCCGTACTTCAACACTGAGCTCCTTCACCAAACAAACAACTGGTGTACTGCTTCTTGCTGTTGCCTTTCTGCCTCCCTCTCCTTGGCTCTCATCTCTGCTTCCCACGTTTGGGGTTCACGCTCTATGTCTTTCTGCTCATTCTCCAGCCTGCCCAGCTCTAACAACATGGGTGCTTTCCTGATGCTCATGTTCCTGCTTTACTTTTGTTCTATTTGCCTTATCCAAAATAAAAAGAAAATAATAAAGCTGTAACCATTATTTTGACTGTTTCCAGCCACCACACTTGAGAATAACTGAAAACTGTTCCACCAGTGCTTCCAGTGTAAATCTCAGTTAAAATATCTAGCTTTGTATAAATCCTGCTTTGACTACACCACTATCACATTCTGGGGTGCAATCTAGACCAGGAAGGGGTTGTGTCGCCACCGCCCGGCAACGCTGGGTGCCTCACAATGCTCTGCTGTTATAACTCCCAACCTGGGATGCTCACAAACAGCCTACCAGCAGGCAGATCACATCCTGAGTGTCTGTGTATAGCTACAGCCTGGTCCAGCAGCTCTGACCCCAACTGCTTGTCAGCAACACACTAGTCACACTCTGGCTTTCACCAGCCATGGTTACTACTTGCAGCGTGATCCCAACACACTCTCAGTCCTGAATTTTCTCCTCACCTGTGTTTGATAAATGCAAAATAATGCTCATTGGAAAACATAATCCCAAGTATACATACAAAATAATGTATGTTACCACTCTAAATTAGCTGTTACCACTTCAGAAAGAGATCTTGGAGTCGTGGCTAGTTCTCAAAAAACATCCGCTAAATATGCAGCAGCAGTCAAAAAAGCTAACAGAATACTAGGAACCATTAGGAAAGGGATAGACAATAAAACAGAAAATATCATAATACCACTATATAAATCCATGTTACCCCCACACCTTGAATATTATGTGCAGTTCTAGTCATCCCATCTCAAAAAACAGATATTAGAATTTTAAAAAGTACAGAGAAGAGCAACAAAAATGATTAGGTGTATGGAATAGCTTCCATATGAGAATGATTAAAAAGACTAGGACTGTTCAGCTTGGAAAAGAGATGATAAGGGAGGAGATAGAGATCTATAAAATCATGACTGGTGTGGAGAAAGTAAATAAGAAAGTGTTATTTCCCCTTTGCATAACACAAGAACTAGGGGTCACCCAATGAAATTAATAGGCAGCAGGTTTAAAACATAAGGAAATACTTCTCCACCCAGCAAACAGTCAATCGGTGGAACTCACTGCTATGGGATGTTGTGTAGGCCAAAAATCTAACTGTTTAAAAACAATTGTTTAAAAACAATTAGATAAATTCATGGAGGATAGGTCCATCAATGGCTCTTAGTCAAGATGATCAGAGATGCAACCCCATGCTTTGGGTGTCCCTAGACTCTGATTGCCAAAAGCTGGGAATGAATGACAGAGAATGCCCTGTTCTGTTCATCTCCTCTGAAGCACCTGGCACTGGCCACTGTCAGAAGACAAGATACTGGGGTAGGTGGACCATTAGTCTGACCCAATATGGCCATTTTTATGTTCTTAATAACATCCTACATGGGATTTCATAACTTTACATATAATGTTGCTACATACATTTCACCATGATAATTATCATGAGTTACTAGTTTTCAGATACCTCACATGGCATGTTTTGTGTAAAGATTATTACAATAGTTTGTAGAGCATGAATACAGGGGGGTTCTTAGTGTCACGCAGAGTCAAGACTTAAGCCAAGGGTCAGACCAAGAGTCAATGCCAGGTATCAGGATCCATGTTGGATAGAGTTCCAGGGGTCAACTGAGAGTCAGAATCCATATCAGAGTCAAGGTCAGTACTAGGCGTTGAGGCACTAATGATCCACATTGTTATCTGGACATTTGTAGGCATGTCACGTGGCCTTATATAGGGACAAGAAGCCAATCAGGGATCGCTAAGACCACTGTCAGTCAGATCACTGGAGGTGGAACTTCCTGTGGCATTGAACCTCTGCAGATTGTGGATGACAAAGTGACCAGTATACAGCTACTGCTGGGTGGTATTGTGGGCGTGTCAGTTATCTGGTAGCCCTGCAGGCCTGGTTCAAAGCCTCCTGAGCCTTACACATTTATCTCTAACTGTGAATTCCCAGATTTCCTAACAAATGTATTTTTTCAAAAAACTGCAACATTCCCTTAGGGGAAAAAAGACTTTAAATAACAAATATTTGCAACCTTTACAACTTATTGATATTTTGTACCTGGGAAATTAGGTTTTTAAAAATATTTACAAATTCTTCAATGGAACAGCTTGTAAGCAGAGCTAACGATAAACCAGGTTCTATTTTCTGAGCCTCCCAAAAGACACTTTCAGTTACAGGCAGGGGTCAGATGAGAACAAAAAAGGTGGTGGTACTTATAAAAACTCCACCTACAAATTAAGCTCCACCCACATGAATTGCCAAAATGAGACATCATTTACACTAAATTAACACCTGCCTTGTAGCACTTCCTTCTAGCTAACTGTGGCTCTGCTGAGACCTGCTTACATTTCCCCTTTGTTGGGGCAACAAAGGGTTCCCTTTAACAATCCAGGCAAGGAGAAGTGAAACACTCCAATTAACATAAGTGTGGCTCCATTTAAGGAAGCCTCCTGAAAGGAGCCCTTGAACAACCATTTTAAGCTCTTACTTCAAAGCCCAGGTGTAATGGGGTGGACTAGGCCCTGAGGCCCCTTCCTGGAGGCCTGCCAAGCTTCCTAGAGCGGCTGTGTGGGAAGCAACCAATCAGGGCCCAGCAGGCTAGTATAAGAAGAGCTGCAGGGCTAAACTGAGATCAGTTCCTTGCTAGAGCTGGAGGAGTGTATGGCTGGCTGAGGGAGCTACAGGACAGTGCTTCTGTATCCTGGGAAATTTCCCAAACTCTGGGAATTTGTGAGTAAAATGTTTGAATGAAAATTCCCAGTTTTCCAAGTTGAAACATTTTACTCACAAATTCCCAGAGTTTGGGAAATTTCCCAGGATATAGAAGCAACATAAAAAACTTTATCTGGGAATTTTTCACCAGATTTGGGAAATTTTTAGCGCTGGGTTGGGAAAAGTTGGCATCACAATATAGAAGCACTGCCTTGGATGAGGTAGTACTGCTAGAAGCTGGGGAGAGTGAGAAGGAGCCCTGATCTGGTTGTGGACACTCCATCAGGACAAGGCCCTGAGGTAAGGGTGAAGATGGCACAGGGAAGTAGCCCAGGGAATTAGAGCAGCACTGTGATTTAGATCAAGGGACACAGCAGACAGCTGCTATCTACAGGATCCCTGGGCTGGGACCTGGAGTAATGGGTGGGCCTGGGTTCCCCTTCTTCTCCCTCCCCCATTAGCTACAGTGGGGAAGTGGCCAGTCTGGACATTGAGGCACCCCCCAGAAGGGGGAACTGAACTGCTGTGGCTAGCTGGAGAATTGTGGCTGAAAAGGCCCTCAGAGGGCAAAGACGTTGCCCCAGGACTCCTTCCCTGGAGGCACTGTTCTATTCTGGAGCAGGGACAAACTGAGAGACACATTACAGAGGGTGCTCAGAGAGGCTTCTGTTGGATGTGTACCCAGAAAGGGGTTTGTGTTGCTTTTATCTCTCAGACAAACTGTGTATGACTTGGCCAGAAGGCTGGGTCAGTGAAGACCCACCACAAACAGGTGTAGAGAGAGAGTACAGGTACATGCACTTGACTGTGGGTGCTCGCAGGAGGTGAGTACACAACCGTTACACCAGGTTTGTACTAAAGACTTAAAATTCCAAAACAAAAAGTCTCTGGGTCTAGTCAGAACAATCCTCAGGGGAAGAGCTCACCATCCCTTACTTATCTGTTAGTCTTAAAGGTGCCACAGGACTCTCCATTGCTTTTTACATCCCTTACCAGTTATGCTATTTC